AGTGGCACATGTTGTACACTGCACTGGCTCTGAGGACATGGACGCAGGTGGGAGGCGGCACACCTGCACACAGAGCAGCTGGGGGAGGCAGGTGCAGTGGGCAGCTGTCACTCAGAGGAAAACAGGACTGCCGACCCATCACCTGTTGAGAGACACTAGGTGGAGCTACCTTTTGGGTATTGTGAATAATGCAGGGGGCAGAGAATGCGACCCCAAACTATGTCACGACCATGTGGGTCATTTTCTTATTTTAAAACTTATCTTTAATGTTCAATGTATTACAGATGTCCCCCCCCCGCCTTGACACCCTCCTTCCCAATCCCACCCCCCTCCGCTTTCCCCACACTATTGTCTGTGTCTATTGGTTAGGCACATATGCATATAAGTTCTTTGGATTCTCTCTTCCCGCCCCACCTCCCCCCTTCCCTTTGAGGTTCATCAGTCTAACAACCGATTTGTACTTCCTAATCCCTTCATCTTTTTCACACCCCCCACCCCCCACCAAATTTGTTTTTTTTTTTTTTTTTTTTGATATTTTGTTCAGATAGAGTGAGAGGGAGAGAGAGAGAGAGAAACATCGACGTGAAAGTGACACATCGAGTGGTTGCCACCCACACGACCCAACCAGGGCTGGGGACAAACTGCAACCAAGGTACGTGCCCTTAGCGGGAACCGAACCCGGGTCTCTCCGGACCGCAGGCTGACGCTCTAACCGCTGAGCCAAACCGGCCAGGGCCCCCCCACCAAATTTGGCAACCAACAAAAAGTTCTCTGTATCTACGAGTCTGTTTCTGTTCTACTTGCTCATTTTGATTATAGATTCAGTGGTTGATAGATGTGTATTTATTGCCATTTTATTGTTCATACTTTTTATCTTCTTCAAGAAAACCCTTCAACATTTCATATAATAACGGTTTGGTGGTGATGAACTCCTTTAGCTTTTTCTTGTCTGGGAAACTCTTTATATGGCCATCGATTCTAAATGACAGCTTTGCAGGATAATCTTGGTTGTAGGTCATTGCTTTTCATCACTCTGAATATTTCTTGCCACTCCCTCCTGGCCTGCAAAGTTTCTTTTGAGAAATCAGCTGACAGTCTTATGGAAGCTCCTTTGTAGGTAACTAACTGCTTTTTCTTGCTGCTTTTAAGATTATCTTTTTTTCTTGAACTTTTTGCATTTTGATGGTGAGTGTCTTGGTGTGGGTCTCTTGGGGTTCATCTTGTTTGGGACTCTCTGTGCTTCCTGGACTTGCATGTCTGTTTCCTTCACCAAGTTAGGGAAGTTTTCTGTCATTATTGTTTCAAATAGGTTTTCAACTTCTTGTTCTCTCTCTTCTTTCTGACACCCCTTTGATACGAATGTTATTTTGCTTAAAGTTGTCCCACAGGCTCCTTATACTATCCTCTTTTTTTTTTAATTCTTTTTTTCTTTTTGCTGTCCTGATTGGGCGTTTTTTGCTTCCTTATATTACAAATTGATGGTTTGCTTCTTGGCTTCACCTACTCTACTATTGATTCCCTGTAAATTATTCTTTATTTCAGTTAGTGCCTCCTTCATTTCTGACTGGTCCTTTATTATGCTCTTGAGGCCCTCACTAAGTTCATTGAGCATCCTCATAAGCAGTGTTCTGAACTCTGCATCTCTTAGATTGCTTATCTCCATTTCATTTAGTTCTTTTCCTGGAGTTTTGTTCTGTTCTTTCATTTGGGACATATTTTGTTGTCTCATTTTGGCTGCCTCCTTGTGTTTGTTTCTATGTATTAGGTAGACTTGCTATGTCTCCTAGGCTTCCTAGGGTGGCCTGTTGTTGTAGGTGTTCTGTAGGGTCCAAAGGCACAGCCTCCCTGATCTCAACTGAGTCCTCAAGGTGCATCCCTAGTGTGGACTGTCCACCCTTCTGTTGTAATTGAGTCTTGATTGCTGTTGGCACCTCAATGGGAGGGTTTTACTCAGGCTGATCAGCTGCAAGGACTGGCTGTGCCCACTGTCCACTGACCTCTGACTACCTTGGAGGATCAGCTGTGCAGGGCCCACCACACAGAGCAAGTCTTACTTCAGCAGGGCTCTGGTACCACTGAGTCCATTCCTTGCATGTGTCACTTGTGGAGGTGGTTGGGTGGTGATGCTTTGATGTGGTCTGAAGCTGTCCACTGGGTGTCCTGGCTCTAGGGCAAGGTCAGCCACTGCCTGTGTTCTACCCAGGGCCACCAGGTATAAGCTACAAAGTGATCTGCCAGTGGCTGCTTCTTGTGCTGGGCTTGGAGGTACCCAGGTGAAGCCAAGCTGTGGACCAAGGCTGGCTGCTTCTAGTGCTGGGCCTGGGGCCACCTTGCAAGAGGTATGGGGCTCGCTGAAGCCAGGTGCTGCTTGTTTGAGAGAATTTAGGAAAATCTGAAGGAGGAGCCAAAACAGGCCAATCCTATGGTAAAACCACTGGAAACAGCTTTCATGGGCCTGAAAGTTGGGTGGGGCAGGACCTCAGGGAATCACCAACGCGGGGCCAACAGTGTGAGCCAGGTTGCTGGAGTCCCAGCTTTGGTGGCTGTCTTCCTGCCCCGTGGGGGAAGGGCTCACCAAAGGAACAACAGCCTTTGCCAGCATGTGGGTCATTTTGAGCTGAAGGCAATCAAGACCCTGCAGACTCAAGAACGACTTTGACCTCTCCCTTAACTATCTAAAAGAATTTAGGTAGGGCCGGCCCAGAGAGAGCAAGTCCCAGAGTAACCTTTATCTGAAGGGCCCAGCTAGAGAGCAGGGCAAATATATAATCTCCAGACATCTAATCTACCATCCTGTCAAGGACCCTCTTCCCCTTGGAGGGCCCATTCCTTAGCTCAGGATGGCGCATAGCCTCAACCGCCTGACTTGTCCTTGGGTCTCATTGTTGGGGGGTCACCGTAGGTACATAATTAAATTAGTTTTTCTCCTGTTCATCTGTTTTGTTTTTGTTTGTTTGTTTGTTTTTTTGTTACAGTTTTATATGTGTGTGACTCTATAGAAGGGGATGGTACAAAGCATTTTCTTTCTTTTAAATTTTTTTTCTTTATTGATTTTTAGAGTGAGAGGAAGCGAGAGAGAAAGAGAGAGAGAGAGAGAAACATTGATGAGAGAAAACATGATTGGCCACCTCCTGCACGCCCCCCACTGGGGATGAGGCCCACAACCTGGGCATGTGCCCTGACTGGGAATCGAACCTGCGACCTCTTGGTGCAAGGTCGAAGCTCAACCAGTTACCTCCATTTTTGCCTCACGTCCATTAGCACTTGGTGAGAGACAGGGCAACGCTTGTGGTAGGTGCTTTGGAAGTCGCTGCAGCGAGTGTGGGGACTTACTTAAAAATGCAGAGTGAGGCGCTGGGAGCCTGTGGAGGTCACCTGGCCCCTCTCTGGTATTAGGGATGAGAAAGGGAGGTCTGGAAAACAGAGCCTGGCCCTGACAACAGCTGGGGCCCCACACCGCGGGAGCCAGCCTGGACTTTCCACTCCAAGTTGGACCTCCCCCCAAATCTTTCCACCTGGCAGAGAAAAGACACTTGCTCCTGCTTGAGGCTGACCGGATCCCCCTCCCCAGCTGCCAACTGTTTACCTCCCTGAGCCCTGACCACACCCGCGATGCTCAAACAGGAAGTCAAGGTTTAGAGACACTGAGGAGCCGGAGTCCAAACCAGGTCCCTGCAACCTCAAGCTTTGCTGCCATCCTGGGAGATGCTCATGCCTCCCCCTGGTATCTTCCCACCTCTCTCCTAGGCTCTGGGGATTCCCAGGTGACACACTGTGCCCTGTCCTCACCAACACTGAGGACACCGCGGAGAAAGCCAGACAGTTTGAGCAACATCGGTCCTTTTGCAGTCAGTGGCTGTAACTGCTTGTCAGCTTTCGGAGGACGGTCTTGGCTGCCTGGCCACCTCTAGACCTGACAGCATCAGTGGTGCCTCATGACCCTCAGGTGACTTAATATTGAGTAAAACACAAACCCCACCTGAGCCAGGCTGTGGGCCTCACCAGCTGGAGAGGATGACAGCACCCTTCCCCTTGGGTCCAGCGCCTACTCCTTGTAGTTATTGTTTCTTTTGTACTCAGGCAGCTGTTTGAAGTTACTGTTAAGCATTGCCGGTTTAAAGAGAATAGATTATTAGAGCTAGAAAAGTTTCTTTGGAATCATTTCCCTTTCGGTTTTACAAATGCTTATGCTAGGGTCCAGCCAGGATTTGCCCAAAGTTCACTGGGACCCCGGTCCCCTGCCCCTTGTCCAATGACCAGGCACCAAAGCTGTCCCCAAGTACAGGATAGCCCCCCTTCACTGGGCCCAGCCTGCGGCTGGGGGAGGCCCACCGTCCACAGAGATCAGGCCTGGAGCTGGCCAGGAGGGGCCCTGTCCGGCCTCGGACCGCCCTCAGTCCTGTTCCCAGGGCTCCACACCAGTGGTGCCTGCCCCACCGCGCTTCCTGCTTTTACTCCACCTCTCGCTGGACACGGCCAGCCTTGGGTTAACTGACCGGAGTTACTAACCAGGGGTGGACCTTACCCCGCCGGCCCTTCCTGCTCTCCACGCCCAGCCCACTCCCAGGCCGGAGGGCCAGATTCATTCCCGGAGGCGGCGGCGGGGCCTGGGCCTTAGCCCCTCGGCGTCACCCACCGCCTGGGGACCCCGCCCACTCCTTCTTTGGTTCCCGGGGGAGGGGGCCGCGCGCGCAGACGCCACTCACAGCGCTGGGACCCGCCAGTCCAGCTCGGAAATGACCCTGCGCCCGCCCCGCCCCTCTGCAACCCGCCCGGCCGTCTCTCCAGGCCCCGCCCCCGCTCGGGCCCCGCCCCCGCTCGGGCCCCGCCCCGCTCAGGCCCCGCCCCGTGGGCGGCGCTCTGGGTGTATCCGGGCGGCAGCGGACGGAGCGCGCGGGCCGGGAGGCGGCGCTGCCCGGGCGCGGGGCGCGGCGCGGGGGTCCGGCGGCCCGAGACGCCCGAGCGGGGTGCGCCCAGCGGGCCGCAGCGACGGGGCAGCCATGGCGGAGCCGGCGCCGCAGCACCTGGAGCTGCCCTCGGGGCTGCTGGAGCTGTGCGCGCTGCTGGGGGTCCCCCGGGACCGCCTCCGAGCCCAGGAGCAGGTGAGCACCCCGCGGGGAGACCGGGGCGGGCGACGGGCGCAGACCAGGGTCAGGGCACCCCACGTCAGCGCTCCGGGGACCCTCGCGCCACCTCCCGCTACCCGCGGCGCCCCGGGCGCGGACCCCGCGTGTCCGCCGAGTGCGGCCAGGGCGCCTGAGGTCCGGCCAGGGCGCCTGAGGTCCGGCCAGGCCCGCTGGCCCGGCCCGCCCGGGGCGGGGAGCGCACGTGCTCTCCCCAGAGGGGCGTCGCGCGCGGCTGCCCCTGCGGGCTTCCCGCCGCCCCGCATCCCCGGGGGCGCTGGAGATGCCCCAGGGCGGGCGCTGGCGTCCGGCCGCGTTTCCCTGGCTTCTCCCCGCTGCTGCCCCAGGACCCCCGTCCGGGCCAGACCGACGCGGCCTCGGCGCCCCGGGCCTGCCCGTTACCCATTAAGTAGTTCAGTTCGCTGTTGACGCATGAGGAGGGCTGTAGACTAGGGGCCCCTTTCACTGTCTCACATGCAGCGGTTTGGCGGTGAATTCTCACTCGCACGAGAGGCCGTCCCACCACCGCGCCCCCTTTCCTCGCCCTGCCCCTGATGGGCCAGAGCGATCAACTCACCACCGCGCCCCCTTCCCTCGCCCTGCACCTGATGGGCCAGAGTGATCAACTCACCATCGCGCCCCCTTTCCTCGCCCTGCCCCTGATGGGCCAGAGTGATCAACTCACCACCGCGCCCCCTTTCCTCGCCCTGCCCCTGATGGGCCAGAGTGATCAACTCACCACTGCGCCCCCTTCCCTCGCCCTGCCCCTGATGGGCCAGAACGATCAACTCACCACTGCGCCCCCTTTCCTCGCCCTGCACCTGATGGGCCAGAGCGATAAACTCACCACCGGGCCCCCTTCCCTCGCCCTACCCCTGATGGGCCAGAGCGATAAACTCACCACCGCGCCCCCTTCCCTCGCCCTGCCCCTGATGGGCCAGAGTGGTAAACTCACCACCGCGCCCCCTTCCCTCGCCCTACCCCTGATGGGCCAGAGCGATAAACTCACCACTGCGCCCCCTTCCCTCGACCTGCACCTGATGGGCCAGAGCTATAATCTCACGTCCCTTTTCTGAGCAAGCAGCAGCTTGGGACATTCTCGTCCCCGTTCGTTTCCTGGGTCCCGGGGCCGGGCTTCCCTTTGAATGGGCGTGAGCCCCCGGCTCCTGGCGGAGGGTGACCGAGACCAGCGTCTCTCTGGGTGCAGGGGATGCTTGGTGTGTTCAGACCCCCGACTTCGTTGCCCAGTCGGCGGGTGAGTCAGTAAAAGGCATTTCCTGAGCAAGACTGCAGGCTGAAGGGGCAGAAATTGCTAAAATTAACCGGGCTAATGTCAGCTGCGCTCTGCTGGTCTCTGCTTCTTGGCCCAGCTCGATGATGTCTGCGTTCCCCTCCCCTGTCTTACTCCCTGAACCCCCAAAATGTCTGCGTCCCCTTTCTGGTCTCTCTCCTCTGACCTTCATCGGCCAAATGGCCGTTCCTTTTTCCTGTAAATGGAAATGATGTTTCAGCCCTGGTCTCCTCCGGAGGCGGCTGTGCTTCTTGGGCAGTTACGACACACTGGGCAGTTGCCTCTCCGGGAGACCTGTTTTGAGAACAGGGTGAGTCAACTGGAATATTTATGGTGCTACTTCCGGAACCCAACAGACTAGGACATCCTCCCAGGTCCCGCGGGCAGTTTGCTAGGTCTTCAGCCTCTGCTCTGTATTTGGGTTGTTAGGGGTTTCGCGAAGGGCGGGGAGAACAGTCCCTGGAGGAGGGGGGAAGAGCTGAGGTCCGCTCCCTGGAGCGGCTCTACCTCCAAGACTCACTTTACTGTTAAAATTAACCAAACATATGATTTTACTCATTTTAGGTTTTTTTTTCTTTTTGGAGTAGCTCTATTTTGAATGTCCAAGGCTTTTTAATAACTTAATTTTGCTTTTTTTTAAAAATCACTATTTCTCTGTGATTCAGGCATTCCTATTTGGTGAGAACTCTCCAGCTTAACCTTTTTCTTTTTTTTTTTTTTCCTTCATTGATTTTAGAGAGAGAGGAAGGGAGAGGGAGAGAGAGATATAAACATCTATGAGAGAGAACATCGATTGGCCGCCTCCTGCACACCCCCCACTGGGGATGGGGCCCACAACCTGGGCATGAGCCCTGACTGGGAATCGAACCTGTGACCTCTTGGTGCAGGGTCGACGCTCTACCACTGAGCCACACCGGGCTCGGCTTCATCTTAGTAGTGCCCTAACTTTGGAGTTTATTTATTTCTTAGACGAGGTGGTATTTGTTTTGTTGACAATAGTGACAGAATTCAATCCCCATGTGGGTTCTGTGGTTAGTGACACTTCCACCACGCCTTGGTTGCTATGGACACGAAGCATAGGGTGTGAAGCCTCAGGCCCCATCCATCGGTGTGGAAAAGTGCTCAGAGCACCTCTCACCTCGCAGGGCACGAGCCTGGTTCTTGTGCATGAGGCGTGTCCGCAGCGGTCTGTGGAGAGCATCCTGCCTTCAGTGTCAAGACCAGCACGGTCCCGCGGAACCTTCTGGATGATGACACCGGTGTTCTTCCTCTGTGCCCTCCGGTGTGGTGGCTCAGGCGACCGGGGGCTTGCTCTGTGGCCAGTGCCCCTGAGGACTGGGTTTCACATTTAAGCCACGTTTTAATAGCCACCGGTGGCTGCTGGTGACTGTGCTGGACGGCAGTTCTAGAGCATTAGACAGTGATCAACTTCTGCTGTTTCACAGACGAGGATCGCGGCGAGGTCAGGGCCACGGCGTCTCACGGAAATCTGCGGTTTTCACTTGCTAATTAGATGTGTTTACTACAATGATGTTTTTGATGCCCTGGCCGGTTTGGCTCCGTGGTTAGAGCATCGGCGTGTGGACCAGAGAGTCCTGGGTCCGAGTCCAGCCCAGGGCACGGGCCTTGGTTGCGGTTGGTCCCCGGCCCCGGTTGGGGGCGTGCGGGTGGCGGCCAGTCGATGTGTCCCGTCGATGTTTCTCTCTTCCTCTCTTTCCCTCCGACTCTGAAAAAAATGGAAAAATGTCCTCAGGTGAGGATAAAAAAATAATAAATAAATAGGATGATTATATTTATGGAAAAATAAGTGATATTTATATATTTGTAAAACATATGTGGCCCAGGCTCGCCGTGTGTTCCCTGGAGTTGTGGGACTGTGGGGGAGGGTGTATTGCTCATCCCGTCGGAAGAGGTGACAGCAGAGGTTTCCACTGTGGGCAACGCCAGGAGCGTGATGCCCACCAAACGCCAGCGTCACTTCAGGTGACCAAAGCTAGCGAGAGGGGACAGCCGGGAGTTTGCTGGCCGCAGTGGATGGCCGGCATTCAGACCAGATGAGCGTGCCCATTCAGACCAGGGGTCACCGAGCGGGGCTGGACGAAGGGCAGCCACCAGGCCATCGTTTGTGCTAGAGGTGGGGACACAGGAGTCGTGCGGGAGGCAGCCAGTCGATGTCTCTCTCTCTCTCTCTCTGAAGATAAATGGAAAGATATCCTCAGGTAAGGATTAAAAAAACATTTATTGATTTTAGAGGGAGGGAGGGAGATAGAGAGAAACATCGATTTGCTGTTCCACTTGTTTATGCAGTCGTTGGTTGACTCTTGAGTGTGCCGTGACCGGGCATGGAACCCGCAACCTTGGTGCCGCTGGAAGATGCTCTGACCACTGAGCACCCAGCCTGGGCAGTGCACTGGCTCTACAGTGTGTTTAGTGATTGGAAACACTGTCACCGTGTAAAGAGTCCTTGGTACCACTGATTTTTGTTTTAAAATATATTTTTATTGATTTTTAGAGAGAGAGGGAGAGAGAGAGAGAAAACACCGATGAGAGAGAACATCGATTGGCCGCCTCCTGCATGCCCCCCACTGGGGATTGGGCCCACCACCTGGGCATGTGCCCTGACTGGGAATCGAACCAGTGACCTTTTTTTTTTAAATCCTCACCTGAGGACATTTTTCCATTTTTTTGTTCAGGTAGAGTAGGAGGGAGAGAAAGGAACAAAGAGAGAGAGAGAAACATCAACGTGAAAGGGACACATTGAGTGGCTGCCACCCGCACAACCAACAAGGGCCGGGGACAAACCGCAACCGAGGTACGTGCCCTTAGTGGGAACCGAACCCAGGTCTCTCTGGACCGCAGGCCGACGCTCTAACCGCTGAGCCAAACCGGCCAGGGTGAACCAGTGACCTCTTGGTGCATGGGTCGACGCTCAACCAGAGCCACACTGGCCGGGCGTCCACTGATTCTTACTGAGATACTGATGCTGGCTATTCCTGGCTGCCGGTCAGGGTCCCATCGGTCCTGGCAAGAGTGCCGTCCTTCCTGGGGCCTGTCTAGGGTCCAGTAAACCCTCACTACCTGCCCCGCCGGCTGCCTCTTCCCTCCCCTCCTCTCTCTCCGGAGACTCCAGCTTTAGCCTCGTCTCGTTTCCGCTGTCTGGGAACCTGACCACTTCCCTCTCCTCTGGGCTGCGTTTCCTGCCTGTTCTTGGAAACATCTGAATTCAGTCGGGCAGCAGCGTGCTCAGTCCTGACCCCACTGAGAGTCCATCAGACACTGTCGTTAGAAACGAGATCAAAGCAGAGCCTATGTTTCTTACGTTATTTGGGGGGAGAAGGAAAAAGAGGTTGAAAAATAAAATCGTGTACCCAGTTAACCTGTGGAAGAACTCAGGTGCAAAGACCCCGTTATTGATCCGAAGGGACGTGTGTCCTCTGATTCCTCACTGCTCACCCCGGGCTCCCAGGTCAGTGGTGACAGCCCGCTGGCGTAGGGCTGGACACGATGCAGAGCCCGTCACTGCTGCCCGCCCCACCGCCTGTGGGGATGGGGACTTCTGGGGACCCGGAGGGCTGAGCACATGACGCACCCGTGGCACCCCTTCTTTGCTGCACTCACCCCTCAACAGGGAAGCCCGCGGCTGAGGCTGCAGTTGGCCACCAGACAGAGCCCACGTCTGGGCTCGGGCGAGCCCATCGCAGGGCCGGCTGTGCTCAGGGTGAGCGGCGTCGTGCGGATGCGGCAGGGCCAGGCTCTGCGCGTCTCCACTGCCTGGACATCGGGCTTGAGAAGTTCCTAAAAGTACCTTCGGGGATCCTTCCTGTCATGAGCCATGGGTGGGAGGGGCCACACCCATGACCGTGCACAACTGCCGCGTCGACTCAGTGGGTCCTAAGGGGCGACCCACGTGGACAAGGGCCGACACCATCGCAGTAACTCATTTCTGCCTGCTCCAGGTCGCCCAGAAAAGGAGAGTCCGGAACCCTCCCTCCCTGGACCCCGAGGTGCTGTCGGTTTTCGTGCCACCCTTGGTCAGGAAGGACGGTCAGCCGGCCGCCGCTGGCTTCGGGACTCTGAGCAAAACCAAGAGGCGCTCCTTCAGGAAGAAGAGGGAGAAGCCCAGAGCAGAACACAGCAAGGACCCTCCGGGGGGCCCTCGGGGGCTGGACACCGAAGACGTTAGTGTCCCCAACGGCGTGGACCTGCTGGCCCTGCCTCAGCTGTGCTTCCCAGGTACTTCCCCTCCCGGTGGACGTGCCTCAGGCCACACCCATGGTCAGTGTCTGGACGTCACCGCACTCAGCAAAGTGCAGCCGGAAGCCAGCTGGCCACCCCTCGGGGCCCTGTGTCCTGTGTTCTTGACCTTGGGGGTTTCAGAGCTAAAAGGGAACTTCGGTCATTTAGACAGTCCCAGGGTTTTGAAAACAGTCCTGGAAGACGGGGACCCAGGTCGCGCTGTGTGTTCGTGGTGCTGTCGAAGGGCCCTCGGGTCGGACCTCAGCCAGCCTTCAGAGGCCTGGCAGGGGCCAGATGACATCAGCTTAGCCGGTTCCCCCAGTTCCGTCCCTCCCCCCGTTTCCTGGGTCCCCAGGACCAGACGCACAGGTGGCGTTTCCCTCCCCAAACTGGCCAGTTCGGCCTCACTTTTTGGCTGGTCTTGGAGGAATATTCCAGGGGCTGATGTGGAAAACTCTCTGGGGACTTGGTGTAAGTACCCGTCGGGCCGTCTCCACGAGACATCGATGCTGCTGCTCGGTCTCGGGAGAGTGAACCGAGGGCCGCTGTGCTCGGGCCTCACAAACCCTTTCTTCTGTCTTCAGGGGGCCTGTGTGTGGCCTCTGAACCCAAGGAGGATTGTGTCCACTTCCTGGTGCTGACCGACGTCTGTGGGAACAGGACGTACGGCGTGGTGGCCCAGTACTACCGACCGCTGCACGTAGGTGACACCCACGCCTCCCGACTTTGGGTCCAGGGTGGGTCTCCGGACAGCCCCATCTTACAGAGGGGAATGGTGGCCCAGAGAGGTCCAGGGACTTGTTTGAGGTCAAAAGGCAGGCAGGGTTTGAACTTGAGCAGTAGGCACTCAGGATGTGGCTGCGGGCGACACGGACGGGCTGTTTCCAGGGCCCCTCTGCCCGGCTGGCTCACAGTGACCTCCAGTTCAGACAGTCCCTACCACTGCGCTCCTCCCCCCCACCCCAAACCCCCAAAGAGCCCGCTCCCCGGGGCCAGATCAGGGGCCTCAAACAGTGTGCCCCTTGTGAGCTGTGCCTACTGGAGCCCCTTGTCCCGGCCGGGAGCCCTCCTGCTCCCTCCTGCTGTCCGTGACGCCCCCTGGTGAAGCCCAGCCTGTGGCCCTTCTGGTGTCTGGCCGTGTTCTGTCCTCTCACGGGGCAGTGAGCGGCTCCAGGGCGGGGACACACCGCCACGGAGCAGCACAGAGCAGCACCCAGTGGGGCCCGTCCCAGGGCTGAAGGCTGCTGCTCACTCAGACTGGCTGTGAACGGGGGGCAGCACGGGGGGGGGGGGGGGGGGGGGGAGGGGCTGGCTGGCCCAGCCCCTGCTGTCTGTTTCGAGGATCCCCGCGGACATCCGCCGGGGGAGGTGACTGTCGCCCTCGCTCTTTCTCTAGAACGAGCACTGCTTCTACAACGGCAAGCCGCACTGGGAGCCCACCCGGCCGACCACGAGCGCGGCCGGCTGCTTCGTGCCCTTCGCCGTGTGCGTGGTGTCCAGGTTCCCCTACTACAGTGCCCTCCGGGACTGCCTGTCCTGGTGAGCCGCCGCCCCGGGGGCTGGGGCTGTGGTGCGGACCTGGGACCGTGACAGGGAGGTGCCCTCGGAGGCAAACGATCGGAGTGAAGTAACCTGCAGGGCTTTCCATGGGTTTTTATGGAGAGATGTAACCCAGGGAGAACTGTTCTGGCCGGAGGAAGTCAGCGGGCTGCTGGCGGTTCCCACGCGTCCAGTTACCCCTTTGGGTGGACTTGTTAACGGGTTTAATGCTGATACTGGGGTGAAAGCCTGAGGGCAGAGAGCTTGGGGAAAATTGGGGAACCCTGCTTCTTGCCTGATCGACTCCCCTCGCAGGGGTGTGACCACGTGGCACGGCGCAGACGCTGTCCTGTCCCGCCGGGCACACGGCACCGCCACTGAGCTGTTCTCAGGATTCAGTGCTGGGCGGAGACAAGGCAGTGAGGGGCCATGTGCGCCAGGTGCTTCTAGTTCCTGGTGGGGGACAGGCCACTCTGACCTCATGCCCTGTGGGGGCCCCGCATGGGTGCAAGGCTGGTGCCCCCAGGAAGCTGCTCTCCCGAGGGCTGGCTGCGGTCAGTGCAAGTTGGGGGCCCCAGAGACTCTGCTTTGACTAGAAATGCTCAGGCCATTGGATTCTCAAATGTGTATGATCTGACTTTTTTCCTTTTTCAATTTCAGTTTATTGCCTCATCTAAAGCTCTGCAGAGATTTCGAAGTTGACAATCACATAAGAGATTTTGCTGCGAAACTCTCTTTAATACCTAGCCCCCCGCCTGGACCGCTCCACTTGGTAATTCTCTCTCTGTCTTTGCAATATGTTGACCGGTTCCTTCCATTCTAGCTGTGTGTGAACTTTGCTACTCAAGATCCTTACAAGCATTTCAGACACTATGTCTAGAAGTCAGAAAATAAATAAAAGTAGAGATTTAGATAAATAAAAGTAAAAGCGTAGAAATAGAAGTTTGTTCTCACACTGACAGTAGGCTTGAGCGTCGCCGAGTGGCTTGCGACAGCCCGTCAGTAGTTAACACGTCAGTCCACTACTTGCTGTGCAGAAAACACAGCGTTTACTCAGATCCCAAACCTCCCGTTTGTTGGTCCGCAGCATCGGGGTTACTCTGACCTTGTCCCTGTTTTCTCCTGTCCAGTGTGACTGATGACACATTAACTGGCTTGATGTTCCTGTTTTGTTATTCAAAGAGCCACTGTGTTATTTAAGTAACAGTCGACCGTTTCCCAAACTGGGTTCCGGTTCCGAGGAACCTGTCCCGAGACGTGCTGGCTGCTTCGTGAGGGGGCTGAGGCGGGCTCGGAGGCCGACCCCGCTCTGCTCCTGTTGAGTGCCGGGGCGGACGGCTGCCCGCGCGATGCGGCCTCTTCCACGCAGTGTTTTTCAGGCTAATTGAACCACGATGCTCCCTTCTTACAAACAGCAGACCCAGAACAGCAGGCCTCTGTCCGCCATCCCAGTGAGGAGTAGCCCCTGAGCCCTCTCCTGCCTGTCCCTTCCGGAGGCCGCACAGCGCATCTCGGCTCCTACGTTTGCTCACTGACCGCTGAAAACTTGTTTATCGGGAGACGTGATTACTAACTAAACTGTCTTTGTCACGGTACCTGCACCCAGGCCCAGAGCCGGAGCGGACCGTTGACTGTGGGGTGTTCTGCAAGGCCCTCTGTCTGTTACGTGGGTGACTGGCAGGCTGTCTGTCTGTTACATGGGTGACTGGTGTTTCTTTACTGTGCAGCGAAATCATCCAAGTCTGTGCTCTTGCCCTGGGAACTTGGCAGCACTCACGGGCCCACTGCAGCGGTGAACAGCCCTCGGGTCTGGTCTCTCCGTCCCTCCCTCCCCTGTCCTTGGCTCACCCTTAGGCCCCTTCTGTTCGCTCACCTGTGGGCTCCCGGGGTGGGCGGGCACCCAGCACCCACGAGCACCTCCCGTGTGGCTGGCGCTGTAGAGGAGGGGGGCTGGCAGCACCCAGACCCCACTTCTGGGCGCACCGGAGACCCCGAGAGGAGGGGACCACACTGCCCTTAAACGCATGACAGAGGCATTCTGTGAAGACAGAATTTGAAGTGTTACTTAACAGTGTTTAGAAAATCAAAGGGCCTTAGCATGTTTTGAACTGCATGTCTCTGAGGAACGTTGCCTACTGAACGCTCCGCAGCGACAGGTGACAGCACCGGCGGAGAGCACTCGGAGGTGCCTGGGCCTCTGTTTCTCTTTGTTTTGCTGCTTAGTGAGAGTCCGAGGCCGCCTGGCTGAGACATGCAGTCCTCAGTTGGGCTGGCCCACGACGGCCGGTCCTGTCCATTTCTGGGCTGTTCCTGTGACGGGCAGGGTGACCGCGGAGTCTCGGACAGTGTTTCCTAAGTCCGAGCTTTCTGAGCCCAGCGCGGATGCCAGAGCCTCCCGCCCGGCTGGGAGCAGCTCCGAGCTGACCGCGGACACGGGTCTCGGCAGGTATTCAACATGAAGCCGCTGCAGATTGTGTTCCCCTCGCGAGCGGACCCCGAGAGCCCTGTCGTCGACCTGGACCTCCACCTGCCCTTGCTGTGCTTCCGCCCCGAGAAGGTGCTACAGGTGCGCGGCCCCCGGGGCGTCTTCCATGACGTGCAGACCAGCGAGCTCGGAATGGTCATTCTCGTGCTCGAAGCCGACGTCCACTCCAGGGCGCGCTACTGGCAGAACTGCACTTTGGGGGGGGGGGTGTCCAAGTGGCTTTTGTTTTGGCAGATGGAGCAGGGAAGCCCGGGTAGAATCCGTCCCCCAGGTCTGGGCTGTGGCGTCCTCAGTGGGCTGTGCCCTGTCGGAAGCATGTCCACGTGTGTCCACCCCAGATCCTGACGTGTCTCCTGACGGAACAGCGAGTGGTGCTCTTCTCGGCCAGCTGGGCACTGCTGACGCTGATGGCCGAGAGCTTCCTGGCCTACCTCCAGCCCCTGCACTGGCAGCACACCTTCGTGCCCATCCTGTCGGGGCAGATGCTGGACTTCGTCATGGCTCCAACGTCCTTTCTCATGGGCTGCCACCTCTGCCACTTTGAAGAAGTCAGCAAGGTCAGGTAGCACCTTGGACGCATAACCTTGAGCCTGGCCAGCCCAGTGCAGGGACTCATGGGAAGCCGCGGAGGACGTGCCTGGAGGGAGGCCGGGCAGGTCCCTGGCTGTGTGTGGCGCCCCGCACACACCCACACCACCCCACTTGTCCTCACGGACCCCGGGGGGCGCGAGGCCCTGTGCCCCTTCTCAGTCCACGTAGTCACAGCAGCTTGGAAGGCTTCCCAGAGCTTTCCAGTGAGTGTAGGCGCTGGAGTCCATGGCGCTGACTTCAAGTGCAGCCTCTGCTGCCGGCGCGACCTTGAGCGAGTTGCCTCTGGGAAGTGGGCAGGGCTCAGCCGAGGACACCCCGGTGCCCCACCCAGTACCCTGCACTGACCGAGGCTTGGAAGACGGTGGCTGCCGCTGCTCCTGCTCCATGTCCTTTGACCTCTTTTTGAAAAGTTTCTTTCTTTCGTATTTAGTTAGCGGGAGTACCAGGCTCAACTCATCCAAGATACGAGTCCGTGGCACCTAGTGTCTGTTGACTTAATTTCGCGAACTATTTTATTTATTTCATTTCTTTCATCTTTGTTGTTGAAAGTATTACGGAGGTCCCTCCTTTGCCCCCACCAACACCTTCCTCCCAGGGGACAGACACACTTTGAGAAGGCCATGCTCTGAAGTTGAAGACAGTTTGTTTTCAGTCATGAGGGGGCAGAAAACCACCTTGTTCCAGACCCTTCGGCAGGGAGACACGGGGCCGTTCATCTAGCCGCTGCGGGGCAGGCGGGAAGGCACCCCTTTCGGTTGACCTGTTCTGGGGATTTCAGGACCAGCAGCAGGACTTTCCCGAAAGCGTTTGGGGTCTGGCCACTTGCCGGTGGTGCTGCAGCCCGGACGCCACCCTAGAGGAGGCACCCCCGCTCAGCGGGCTGGGCCACCGCCTGTTTGCCCTGGAGACGTCGCCGGCATGTTTCATGCTAGGTGGGGCCCAGCCCAAGGGCTGGGAGTGGACCTGCAGAGGGCCCGTCACATTCCAGGGACTGCTGAGTGCAGGGCCCAGCGCATGACGCCCTGTCTGTGTGCTTTGTCACAGATAAGACTGCACAAGCAGGCCGTGCACATATTTTAAACATGCCAAGTGTGTGCGGTCGCCGAGCCAGGGCCCTGCCCATGCTGGGTTCTCAGAGGGGCAGGGTTTGGGGCAGCTGGACGGACACGGCGGGTACAGATATTGGTGTTGCTCTCCTTGGAGTTCTGGAATGTTCTTGCGATCTTGACTCAGGCGAGCACTGAGCTCGTTATGGCGACTCGTGGTATTTACCGAGCTCCTGGGCGAGATCACAGGCTGTGTGCCCTCGTTGCGTGGGGTGATTTGATGGTGGCGACACTGTCTGTGTGCAGATGCCGTTCTGTTTCCAAAGATGTGCTCAGATTCTCACAGCAGCCTGACGCTCACTTCGTAGGAAGCGGACGGTTTAGTTCTGATCAACATCGACAGCGGGAGCGTCACCTGCTCGGGCGGCGACGGCGCGGACATCCCCGACATCCCTCTGCTGGCCGCGCAGACCTTCATTCAGAGGTAACGCTGGGGAACACCTGTCCAGTTCTCGCCGGCCAACTCCGACTCTCTTTTCCAGTCTTATGACTGATGTTTTACGTGTTTATAGTTTGGAAATGACGTCATTTGTCTTTATTCTTATCTGTCAGTTACGGTCTCGTAGAGGCTGGTGATGGTCACGGCTCCTAGGAAACCTCTCTCTTCTGGCCCCGTGATCCTGTGCCTGTGACCTCTGAAGTTCCTTCTCTTTTGTTCATTCACTCATTCACCCGCCCTCCCGTCCACCACCCACCCTAGATGGGTTTCCAGTACCCCCATGTGCGGCCCCTGCCCTGTGACCCTGGAGTCCCAGGGACCCGGACGGACAGACCCGCCACCCGAGCAGGTCACTGCCCCTCCCAGCGCCCTGACTCTGCAGACTCTGTTTTGCAGACTCTGTTTCATGGCTCTGCGGTGCCTGCGTCCCGTCCTGGTGGAGAGGCTGGTGGGCACCCTCCTGGTGCTGCTCTGGGAGGAGGGATGGAGTCACTGCTGTCGGGCAGAGGGGCACCCTGGGCGGGACGGCCGGCAGAACGGTCTCGGGGGCACTTTCTTCCCTGGGAGGTGATGCGATGGTGGCGGGAGACCCTGCGTTCGCCCTCCAGCCCCCGCTGCCCTCACCAGTGTGGCTCCAGGAGCGGCCGTGGCTGCGGGGGCAGCGTTGGCACAGCCAGCAGCCAGGTGGGGCAGAAGCCTGTGCTGAGTGAGGTGAAGTCAGAGGGGGCCAACGTCCCATTTTTAAATTTTCTTTCTTTCTTTTTTAAATCCTCACCTGAGGACATTTTTGCATTTATCTTCAGATAGAGTGGAAGGGAAAGAGGGAAGGAAGAGAGAGAAATAAACATCAATGTGAGAGACACATCGACTGGCTGCCTCCCGCACGACCCCAACTGGGGCCGGGGACGAACTGCAACCGAGGTGCCTGCCCTTGGCCAGAATCAAACCCGGGTCTCATTGGTCCACGGGCCAACGCTCTAACCGCTGAGCCAAACCGCCAAGGCTGTCCCCTTTACCTTGTCGGGAGGTCAGGTAGGGGCGAGCTGAAGCCTGGGGAGTGGAAGAAGCGGGCGGCAGCCGACCGATCTGACTGTTCACCAGCCTGGGCTGTAACGAGCAACACGTGGGTTGTCTGACAGTCCCGTGAAGACACGTGATGTGTACCTGCTCCTTCCAGGGTCCAGAGCCTCCAGCTGCACCAGGACCTGGACCTGGCCCACCAGGGCGCCAGCACCGACCTGAACGACGGGCGAGCCCGCCGGCGGGCCTGGCAGCAGCGGCTCAACGCCCAGATCCAGCAGCTCACCCTGCAGCTGCTCGTCAGCATCTTCAGGTACCTTCCGCCCCCGTCTGTGACGGGCGAGTCCCACGGGCTGCTGGGCAGTCCCTCTGCCCCGAGGGTTCAGGCCCGCAGCCTGTGTGACTCCTTCAAAACCGACATTTCGATGGGTGGATTCTTCTGATGTCTGTTTGCCCGAAGCAAACTGTTAGGAAGCAGAGGCGTCTTGTAGACGGGTGGCGTCACCTCTGCCCACAGCCGTACGATTTGGTTGTGGAAATGGTTTACTTTTGTTCTAGTAAGAGGACATCTTCCATGGGAAGGTTTTTTTTTTTTTTTTAAATAAACATTTTGTAAATTTGATGAGTTCCTAAAGAAACAGAAAATGTGATTACAGATAATGAAACTGTTCCCTTGATGAAATAATTTTTCCTTCACGAAGATGACTCTGACCCTATTACGTACTATCGCTGTGAGATCCTTCAGATCTGGGACATGGTTTGCCAGAGTCCCCACGGGTTCATGGACGAGGAGCGGGGTCCAGAGCTAGAAGCCGGCTTGGGGTCGGGGGTCAGGCTGGCTCCCCTTCCTGGCTCCCCCCACCCCTGGGACTCAGCTGTGCTTGAGTGGACACTTAGGGATCATTGCATTCTCATTTCCGTGAGAAGCCAGGGGCTGCAGCGACAGGGACCCGCCCTCCTGGCCGTCACTCTGGTCGGAGGGCAAAGCTGTGCTGAAGTGAGCAGCTCGGCCCAGACACCCCCAGGGTGTGTCCCTCTGGCGGCAGAATGTTCTCCCTGAAGAACAGCCTTTCCAAGTGCACCTCTGGTCGCCTGCCGGCGTGTGATGTGTGCTGTCTGTCTGTCTGTCTGTCAGGGAAGTGAAGAACCACCTGAATTACGAGCACAGAGTGTTTAACAGCGAGGAGTTTCTCAAAACGCGCGCCCCCGGGGACCAGCGCTTCTACAAGCAGGTCAGCAGGGCCGCGAGCCACCTGCTGCTCGCTCGTCCTCCGCAGCTAAACCGTCCTCCGCGCGACTGTCTTCCGCCTGTGCGCCTGCTCAGAGCGCGCTCTCCGGAGGCTTCTTTTAGCAGCTCCCTGCCTGTCCTTTGGCCCAGTCTTATTTTCCGGGCGTAATTTATTAGAACAAAACACTGAGTATGATGGGTTTGGACAGATGCGCCACCTGGGTCCTCTCCAGGCCCCGCCCACAGCCCCGGGCAGCAGAGAGCAGCTGTGGCCAAGTGGAAGGGCCCGCCAAGGGAGGGAGGGAGGCTCACCTGGGCGTGGGCAGCGGGAGCTCGGGCAGATGTCCCGAGCCGATGGGAGGTCAGGGTGCAGGGCGGGCCATGGTCCCCAGGACACTGCGGAGTTGGCGACAAACCCAGGCTGTGCTGCGGGGGCGGGGCCAGGGCTTCTGCACTGTCTCGTGATTTCTCAAACGCAGAGTGACCCGTGCTTCCCAGTCCCGAGAGAGGAGCCCAGGGGTGCCGCCGGGCAGCATGCCTGCAGGGGCAGGGCCGGGGGGAGGTGGGCCGGAGGGCCGTAGGGAGCAGGCAGGGCCCGGGGAGGCAGGCAGGGCCGGGGGGAGGCGGGCCGCAGGGCTGCAGGGAGCAGGCAGGGCCGGGGGAGGCAGGCTGGAGGGCCGCAGGGAGCAGGGAGCAGGGAGCAGGGAGCAGGCAGGCCTGGGGGGAGGCCGGCCGCAGGGAGCAGGGAGCAGGGAGCAGGCAGGGCCGGGGGAGGCAGGCAGGGAGCAGGGAGCAGGGAGCAGGCTTGCGTGGCCTGCAGGCACACCGTCTTCCCCCGCAGGTCCTGGACACCTACATGTTCCACTCTTTCCTCAAAGCCCGGCTCAGCCGCAGGATGGACGCCTTCGCCCAGATGGACCTCAGCACGCAGTCGGAGGAGGACAGGTGCCTGCGTCCTCGCGTCTGGGCGCTCAGCTCTCCGGGGACCGGACCCTCCGTGGTGTAGTTTTGTTTGCGCAGATAGATGGTGGATTCAGTCACAAGGCCCCTGTTCAGCAAGGCCTGATGAGCTGCTGACAGCTCCTCTCCGAGTACTGACTTGGGGACACTCTGAGCCTCACGCTGGCATGGCCCCTGCACCTCTGGGTCTGCGTTCAGGCTGTTCCCTCCCCGTCTTCCTCCTCTCCCTGCACTTTCCTGAAGCTTTTCCTACGACCCTCCAGTGCACGTCAGCCGTGGGTGACGCCCCTGCTGTTTCCGGGCTCGGTGGCCTCTCCCGGGGGTGCGGTCTGTCCCCCAGCCTTTACTGCCCCCGTGGAAGACTGGACACTGGCCACCACCCTGGGGAACACGCGCTACTGAGGCTCACTCTTCAGTCATTTCTGCGTCTAAAGCACTGCTTTCTCCCCAGAATAAGCGGGATGCTTCTAAGCCCCAGACGGCCAACCATCGAGAAGATGGCCTCTCACAAATCTTCGCCGCAGCGCGCGGCGCACCGGCGCATGGTGGTCAGCATGCCCGACCTGCAGGACATCGCCGCCCCCGAGCTGCCGCCCAGGAACGCGTCGCTCCGGAAGGTCGACCCCCCAGGCTGCAGCAGCACAGGTGACGGGCTCGCCGCTCCCTCTGGGGCTGCGGCTTCTCGTGCGCGGGCGGAGGGAAGACACCAGAGCTCCATTCGGCAGATGGGGCCGGGCTTTTACTTATTTAACAGTGTGCGTGTAACACTCTTAGGAGATTCATTCTGCAAACTGTCCATCATAGGAAATAGTTTCCTGTCTGTATCTTCCATCACGGAGCCTCAGTAACAGCTCTACAGTCTTGGTCTTCCACATATATGTGCACGTATATGTACGAGGGTGTGCGTACAAAATACACGTCTACGTATGTCACCATCTGATGGGACATGACGATGTTAGGCCCCGATAAGTGCCCCGCACCCGGGAGCTGACTGACACATGGGACGGAAGCAGACGATGCGCAGGGTAAACCAGTGCTGGTCGTCGGTGTTGTGGTTGGAGGAGGCAGGGTCGGCACGGTGATGGGGCCAAGCACGGCAGCAGCATTTCGGCGGAGAAGCGAGTGAATGGAGGGGCCGGGCCGCAGTCACGGTGGGGGGGGCGGGGCAGGCACGGGTCATGAGGTACGCGGCTGCATCTCTGCGGCAAGTCCACACAGCTCCAAACGTCAGCTGGGACTTTCCTCGGTCCACCGATGGCTGTGAAATGCCCCTGGACGTGTGTCGGCCTGCGGCTTATCTTTGTGTGACCACAGCAAGCCACGGGCCACGCGACCTCAGTGACTGACACCCAGGGCTGCTCCCCGGGCGCCCCCTGGTGGCCACTGTCTTGGGCTAAGGCACCAGCTACCAATCGGTGCCTCGGATGTTACGTAAGAGGGCTGGAGACTGAGTGAGGAACTCGCCTCACTGACACCAGTGTCCCCTTTAAATGAAAAGACCTGAAAGAGCAAGAGTTCTGGTGGTGACGCTGGGTCCAAGTGCCCTGCACAGCTGCTTCCTGGCGGGGTGACCCTGGGCTGGTTTCTTCACCTCTCTGGGCCTGCGGTGCCGCTTCTGGAAAGCCCAGCAGTGTCTTTCTCCTCTGCTCTGTGGGAACACATTCTGCAACCTCTGGGCCCCCACCTGGAGCTCCCTGCCCCTCCCAGGCTCACCCCTCCTTCTCCAGGCTTCACGGCCGAGACCCCAGCTCTGGGGTGAGTGCCTACCTGCGGGGCTGGCGGGTGCTGCCCATGGCAGCCCCTGGGAGGCCCTCAGCTGGCACCTGTTGAAGGAACTGGTGAGGCACCCTGGCTTAGGGTGGGCTCTGGCACTTAGCAGCTGTGTACCGGGACAGCGGAAGCCCGCGTCCACATCTACACGGTGGGAATAACACCACCTGTCTCGGAGCAGCTGTAAAGGCAGCCAAACGGGGACTTCACGGGGCTGAGCCCTGCCCAGCGAGACATCTGGGCTCAGGTTATCCGCTTAATCCTCCTGTGAAGACAGTGACGGATGAGCTCGGCATTGATAGTTTCAGCGAGTAAAAGTATTCGGTATTCTCAGGGTGCCATGCAAGCAAAGGCAGGCTCCGTGGAACTTTCCGGAAGAGGCCACATGTTCTTGCTTTGCATGGCAGGTCGACCTTTCCCGGACAACGTGTCGGCGACACGGGCTTGTTTGCAGGTCTGTGCTCATTGTCTGCTTCTCCCCTTCCCTCTAGTTCTGAACGTGAGCCCCAAGTTGACGTACACGTTCAAGATCCCGGAAATCCACTTCCCCCTGGAGAGCCAGTGCGTGCAGGCCTACTACTCCGACTGCGTCTCCCTGCTGAGCACAGCCATGAACTGCCTGGCCCCCGACAACTCCGTGCTGCTGGCCAGGTACCTGTACCTGCGAGGACTCGTCCACCTGATGCAGGGCCAGCTGCTGGACGCCCTGCTGGACTTCCAGAGCCTGTATAAGACGGACCTCAGCATCTTTCCTGCTGACCTCGTGAGGAGCGCGGTGCAGTCCATGCTGGGCCCCGAGCGCGCCCAGGCCGAGCGCACGCCCGAGCTGCGCAGGCTCATCAGCCAGGTCCTGGACAAGCCTGGGGAGGCCCCCAAGGCTGACGACCATGTGAAGAACTTCGAGCTGCCGAGCAGGCACATGCCGCTGGATGACTTCGTGCAGAGGGTCCAGGAGTCGGGCATCGTGAAGGACGTCAGCATCATCAGCCGCTTGTTTGAGGCCTTGACTGTAGGTAAGAGGACCAGTCGGCTCGTGGGCGAGACCCCCGGCTGTGCTGCTGGCCTGGGTGCCTACAGGAACCGGAGCAGAACAGAGCCAGGCAGGAGCAGTGAGGGGCTAGATGGGCTGGACTTCTTAGTGGTTGTGCGGGGTGGGGGGCCCCACCGGCATGTCACAGAGAAGGAAGCGGGTCCTTTCCACAGCTTCCGGCAGCCACACTGCTACACAGTAGTGACGCTGGGCGTGAATATTGAACATCAGTAAAGGTTACTGTGTCATTTGAGATCATCTTGGCCACAAATAATAAAAGTAATTTATCAGCTCGCACAAGCAGGGATATTGTGATAGTTGGCTTCAGGCACGGCTTGATCCAGTGGCATGGGAGTGTCACCAAGGATCTGGTTTCTTCAGAGTTAGCTTTTTTTAAAAATTTTTTATTATTTTCTTGTATTTTTATTAGTGGGAGGGAGAGAGAGGAAGAGAGAGAGAGAAACATCAATGTGAAAGGGACACATCGAGTGGTTGCCACCCGCACGACCAACCAGGGCCGGGGACAAACTGCAACCGAAGTACATGCCCTTAGCGGGAACCGAACCCGGGTCTCTCCGGACCGCAGGCTGACGCTCTAACCGCTGAGCCAAACCGGCCAGGGCTTTTCAGAGTTAGCTTTGTCTGAGCACTGGCTCCCCTCATGGCCCCAAGGTGGCTGCCACCAGTTCCAGTGGTGGTGACACAGATGTTTGCCACCAGAGTGTCCCCATCCCAGTGTTCACACCTGATGTCCTAAGTTACTGTGACTACCTGGCTTAGGTCACACAGTGATCCCTGTCCCTGGGTTAGCTGCTGGAGAGGGCGGATGGGTTGGGTCTAAACCTAGGCTCACCCTGGGCACCTGGGGCTGCAGGGGGAGGGAGGGGAGAACGCCCAGGTGTTTTCCATCCAGGTAGACAAGTGCTGGCGCCACCTGCTGCCCTGTCCAGGTAATGTGCTACTTCTTAGGTGATGGGAAAGTACTGGAGCACAGCTGTGTGTGGCTTAAGACATCTCTCTTCTTTATAAAATGTAGGCCAGCAAAAACTGATTGACCCAGAGACATTCAGAGATTTCTACACCTGCTGGAAGGAGACAGAAGCAGAGGCCCAAGAGGTCAGCCTGCCGGCGTCGGTGATGGAACACCTGGATAAAAACGAGTGTGTTTACAAGCTCTCCAGCTCCGTGAAGACGAACCGCGGCGTGGGCAAGATCGCCATGACCCAGAAGCGCCTGTTCCTCCTGACGGAGGGAAGGCCGGGCTACGTGGAGATCTCCACCTTCAGGAACATAGAGGTGGGGCGGGGCCCGCGTCTGTCCGCCCGGCAGCTGAGCCCCCCTTTCCCCTGGGGAAACCCAAGCTGAATGGCGACTCGGCGCGGGCCTGGTGCTCCTTGTCCAGACCCACACGAGTTAGCGGGGTTGTTCTCACCACTGTCCCGGCAGGGGAGCAGCTGCGCCCACGGACCCTGGTTTCCCCCCCGTTTCCTCCACACTGCCCCAGACTCTGCCCCAAAGTGAGACCTGTTTACGGCGCTGAGAGGAGGAACCGCCTTTAAGTGGTGCGGATGAGTCCGTGTGCGGACACGTTGGTGAATCTACCAGGAGGATGCTCAGCCCTGACACCAGCGCCGACTCGATTTTGTCTGTGCCTGAGACCAGGGTCACTTGGAGGTCCCTCCGCTTCCTTCTGGGACCAGGGTCATTTCAGGGCCCTCTCTGTCCTGCTGGGACACACCCTCCCTCCAGCCCCCACCAACCCAGCTCTGGTCCAAGGCCCGAGGGCTCTCTGGGCGGCCCTCACCCGTTCCGGGCCTTCATGTCACAGCTGAGGGTCCTAGCAGGTCCCCTCAGCGAGTGTGGACAAGGACAGCCGTGATCTTTAAGTCAGTTTTTTTAAATCCTCACCAGAGGATGTTATTTAAGTTGATTTTTTAGAGCCCTGGCAGGTTTTGCTCAGGGGTGAGAGTATCGTCCCATGGACCAGAGTCGTGGGTCCGATTCCAGTCAAGGGCATGTATCTCGGATGTGGTTTGATCCCAGGCCCTGGTTGGGGTCGTGTGGGAGGCAACCCATTGATGTCTCTCTCACACTGATGTTTCTCTCTCTCTCTCCCTCCCTCCTACTCTATCTGAAAGTCAATAAAAAAAATCCTCGGGTGAGGACTAAAAAAGAACAAATAGATTTTTTTAGAGAGGAGGGAGAGAAACGTTAACACGAGAAAGAAACACAGATTGGCCGCCTCCCGCACACACCACTGCCAAAGATCGAACCCAAAATCTATGTATGTGCCCCAACCGGGGATTGAACCTGCAACCTTCTGGTGCACGGGCGGTGCCCCAAGCAGCCAGGCACAGCGTGGTCTTTCGACAGCTGCTGCCCCTCAGGCCCCGGGCCCCGGGGGGTGGTCGGGCCCTCACCGTCCCCATCCCCCCCCGCCTCTGCAGGAAGTCAAGAGCACCACGGTCGCGTTCCTGCTTCTCCGAATACCGACTTTAAAGATCAGGACGGCGTCCAAGAAGGAAGCCTTTGAAGCCAACCTGAAAACAGAGTGTGACCTGTGGCACCTGATGGTGAAGGAGATGTGCGCCGGGAAGAAGCTGGCGGACGACCACAAGGTCTGGGCGAGGGGCTGCCCCTGCTCTGACCCAGCCCCGTCGGGTCGCTCCCGTGTCCCCGTGAGGACGCTCGGCCCTTGGAGCTCAGCGCCCTCGGTACCCAGGTCGAGCTAGACGAGGTCTGGCCAGGACGCACCGAGGGTGCTGTGGTCCGTGAGACCCCGAGGCCTGTGGGCGGACACCCCGTGCCCCGGGAGTGGTGGGAAGGGCTGGGCTCAGCAGGTTGGGCGGGTGCACCGACCCCTCCCGCACTGTCAGGTCCGCGTGCCAGGTTTCTGTACCTCGGTGACTGTCTCCCCGCAGGACCCTCAGTACATCCAGCAGGCGCTGACACACGTCTTGCTGATGGATGCCGTTGTGGGCACAGTGCAGGCGCCCCACGCCATTTACGCCGCCTCCAAACTCTCCTACTTTGACAAGATGAAAAACGAAAGTAAGAAGCACCGTCAGTGGGTTTATCTGGGGGACGTTTTGTCCCTTCCACGTCCCTCAGACGTTTCCCTCTACACTGTCAAATGTGTGTTGGACGTCCTTGAACTGTCCCCCTCCTCTCCTCCCTGACAACCTGCCCTGGAGCCCTTCGCTTGCGGGCACAGGGCAGCACCTCCCCCGCCTGGGCAGCGCCAGGTGTCAGCCCTGAGCCCCTCGACGCCGAGGATCACCCACCGCAGGGACAGCGCCGTCTGGGGATGAGCTTACGGGGCGTCTCCGCTTCCCTCCGTTGAGGCTGTGGCACTGCTGTGTGCGTTTCCTTGGGGACGCAGCGGGCTGTCTCTGCCCCGGACGAGGAGCCGCAGGTGTGGATGCGGCTCGGCACACCGCTCGTCACCACGCCCGCCCCAGGACCCACCCTCCTGCCACAGGCAGATGCTCTGCTGCCACCAGACCTGCTGGGGGCTCAGCTGTCAGTAGTCCTAGAATAAGACACTGAATATAGGTTTTTGGGGGTTTTTTTTATCCTCACCCAAGGACATCCCTGCATTTTTATCTTCAGATAGAGCAGGAGGGAGAGAGAAACATCGACGTGAGAGAGACACACTGACTGGTTGCCACCTGCACAACCCCAACTGGGGTGGGGACTAAGTGTAACCCAGTACGTGCCCTTAGCGGGAACTGAGCCCAGGACTCTCTGGTCCGCAGGCCAACGCTCCAACCACTGAGCCACACCGACCAGGGCAAATGTGGGTTTTTTAAGGAGCAAAATCAAATCGATGCTACACTTTGGCTGTTAGACCCCTAAGCTCAGGCTGAGCCAGCCTCTGTCAAGTTTACAGAAAAGCCTTCTGCTCCTTGTAAACACCACCCACAGTGCCCCGGCCAGTGACACCTGCCCTCCGTCCACACGGCAGAGGGAACCTGAGATCCGTGCCCCGTCCCTGTTACAACAAGACCTGTCCCTGTGTGTGAAGCTTCGAGAGGCCGGTGCCCGTCCCGGGCTGACGTTAGCAGCTTAGGATGGAAATTCTGAAGACGAAGTTTTGTTGCGTTTTTACCCCCTGCCTGGTGGGTGTGTCTGGGGAGGGTGTGGGGTGCTACTGGCACCCCCTGGCCGAGGAAGGGAGGCTGCTCAACACCCTGCCTGCCAGGGCGGCCCCAGCAGCCAGGTTGGTGACCCGAGGTCGCACAAGTCAGTGCTCTGGGCTCCGTCGGGGGGTCTTCCGTTGCTGAGACGCGTCCATCTTCTCTGGCAGGCCTGGCGGTGGTGTGTGCGGCGGGTCGGACCACGGCGCTCACTGAGCAGGACCACGGCCACCGGCCGCACGTGGCCCCGTGTCTCCTCTCTGAGTTTTTCTCACAAACTACCGAGCTTCACCCCCCACAGGCATCTGAGGAAGCAGAGGGGCCGCTGGACCAGGGCGGTTTCAGAGCCCTGACCCCCATGTTTGCTTTCAGTGCCCGCGGCCGTTCCCAAGACAACTGCAGAGACGCTGAAGCACAAGATCAACCCTTCGGCCGGAGAGACCTTCCCGCACGCCGTGGACGCGCTGCTGTACACGCCAGGTACGTGCCTCCTCCTGTGCGGTGCGCCTGACGCGGGGGGACGGGCACCAGCTGTTCCTCCCTCGGAGGGGAAACCGCTGCACCACTGACCCGACTGTCCCCTCGCGGAGGCCGAGGCCGAAGAGCCCAGGGAGGTGACCAGGGCAGACGCTTCACATGGTCCCACTCCAGTGACCGTCCCTCGCATTCTGCGGCGGCTCGGTCAGAGCACGGGCGCTTGCGTCCCTCCCCTGGGCCGTGAACCTGGTCACGTTGTCGTCACCAAGTGACCACCTCCGAGCGTCGTCTCGGACACCGTCCACTGCTGATGGGAGTGACGAGGCCCCGTCCGCACGCAGACGTTCGCGGCAGTGGCGACAGGAGACGGTCACCCTGGGGTTGCAGGTCACAACTGTCAGGCGTGTCGTGTGCTGTGACTGGTGAGCGCCGCCGCCGCGAGTGTTACTCTGAGGGCTGCGCGTGCTGGGAACAGCGACGGCCCGCGTGTCCAGTCTGTCCGTGTCTGAGTGGCGCCGTGACGCGCTGTCCCATCACGGAGGGTGAGCTCTGCACACCCGTGGCCAAGAACCCGGGCGGGAGGGGGCTGGAGCCCAGGCCCTGGACCAGCCTCTGGCGGACTGAAGAGCAGCCTCCGTAGGCAGCAGGCTGGCACGTGGGTACCTCCTTGAACGATGACAAAGGCGGTGTCAGCAGGGGCTGGGAGGGCACTTCACCGATGGTGTGGGGACGCTGTGGAAAACAAAGCTGGACCGGTCCGTCCTCGGGCCGTACGTCATCACCACTCCAAGCGGACAGGAACCCAGAAGCAGACACCAGTCAAGCCCACAAACTCCTTGGAGACAGCAGACGTACTCAGGCCTCGTGGGAAACTCAACAGCACAGAACTGCGGGCGTGGCGGGCTGAGACAGATGCTGAACCTGGCTGCCCCAGGGAAGGGCTTTCCACAGACCTTCCCAGAGCGAACGTGGAGCACAGCCTGGGAAAGGAACCGACGGGCTCGCCCAAGACCAGGACGCTGCACATCAAGAAGACAACAAGCAGATTCAAAAGTGGGTGCGATGCATCACGTAGAGGACTCCCCGCTGGCCCGTTAGTGCATCGGCCTGGTTTACGCAAGTAAACCACGAGAGAAACACCAGAATCTGCCACACGCAGGATGGCCAGAATGAAACAGATGGAAGGTGCCAAGGGCTGGTGACGACGGGGAGCCTGGAGCTGCCGTGGTCCCGCTGGCTGTGCCCTGGGTGCAGGCTGCGGCCTGGGGTCTCCATGCTCACCTCCCTCCTGTCTGGTGCCCAGAGCGCCTGCTCCTCCTGTTCCCTCGGCCTGCAACCACTGTCCAGTGAGATGTCAGACACCCTCGAGATCCAGGCTGGGCAGAGCCACCGCGCCGTGTGCCCTCCTGACTCTCGTCTGTGTGGCTCTTGCTCCCGGGACTCTAAGCTCCGCGAGCACAGTGGTCCCGGAGGTGCTCACCTGTGTCCTGGGCCCCCGGCGTGGTGCCTTGGTGCCTTGCAGGTACCCAGGCCGTGCCTGACGGTGGCACGAACCCCGGGCTGACGCTTCAGAGGGTTTTCCTTGACACGCTGGCCGCTCTTCTCTCTAGGGCACCTCGACCCGGCAGAGAGAGTGGGAGACGCCCACCCCAAGTTGTGGTGCGCACTGCACACGGGCAGAGTGATCGTGTTTGACGCCTCGTCATGGACTGTCCACCAGCGCTGCGTCCACGTGGGCACCGCGAAGCTGGTGAGCAACGGGGTGCCGTGAGGTGCGGCCAGTTCTCCGTAAGCGTCCTGACCCAGCTGTGAGTTCACAAAAGTGGACGTGTCACCCTGCGGCGCCCCCGTTCCGGAATAGGGGGGCTTTCACATTTCTCTCTCGGGTTTTAAAATTCAATGAGCAGATGCTGGCTTTGACCACCCCCACTCCAAAATCTGAGCCCGGGTCTCAGGAACGCGCAGCCCAGCCTGCATCCGCCACTTGTCTCCAGTGGACATGTGGACATTTGCTTAACACATTTGGGAATGAAAACTAAGCACAGTTTAAATCAAATTTGCATGCTACTATAATCATCCCTTGTTTGAGAAACCCTAATTCTTTGAGCTTTGAGACCGATTACTTTTTAAAAAGTAAATAAAATGAAGCCCTGGCTGGTTTGGCTCAGCGGTTAGAGCATCAGCCACGACTGAAAGGTCGAGGGTTCGATTCTCAGTCAAGGGCATGGACCTGGGTTGCAGGTTCGATCCCCAGCCCCCGCTGGGGTCGTGCAGGAGGCAGCCAATCAACGTCTCTCTCACATTGATGTTTTCCTTTCTTTTTTTTCTTTCTTTTTTATCCTCACCTGAGGACATTTTTCCATTTTTTGTACAGATAGAGTGGGAAGGAGAGAGAGGAACAGAGAGAGAGAGAGAGAAACATCGATGTGAAAGGGACACATCGAGTGGCTGCCACCTGCACAACCCACCAGCGCTGGGGACAAACTGCAACCGAGGTATGCGCCCTTAGTGGGAACCGAACCCGGGTCTCTCAGGACCGCAGGCCAACGCTCTAACCGCTGAGCCAAACCGACCAGGGCTCACATTGATGTTTTTCTCTCTCTCTCTCCCTCCTTCCCTTCCATTCTATCTAAAAAAATCAATAGAAAAATATCCTTGGGTGAATTAACTAAAAAAGGAAAAAAAATGAAATAAAATTAATTCCTGCGCCTGCCCCCATCACACACATGACTAATCCAAGGGTGGGGTCCAGACCTATGGAAATCAGCCCCCTACTTTCCAGAGACTCCCAAAGTCCCCACACTGCCTTTGACGCTCATTCTGTATGTTTCACACAACATGACAAGTGACCACCCGCAACGGGGCCTAAAGGCGAGGCTGGAAGGTCTCGGGGGAATCCCGGTGTCCGGGTGAGGTGGTGGTCAGTGGGTCCCTTTCAGACCACAAGAGGGAGCTGCTAGTCCCACCCCAGGGCTGTTTATAAAAGTCTAGTAACGCTTTAGATAGTGAAGCAAGGAGAAAGGAAATCGTTTGGATTCTAAATTTTCTTGTTGTTCATTCTTAGTTACAAGCATTTTAAAGACTTTTTAATAGTAAAGTAACTCTTAGAATCAGTTAAAACAAAATCAAAAGGCCGCCCTGGCCGTTTTGGCTTAGCGGTTAGAGCGTCAGCCTGCGGTACAGAGAGACCCGGGTTCGGTTCCCGCTAAGGGCATGTACCTCAGGTTGCAGTTTGTCCCCGGCCCTGGTTGGTTGTGTGGGTGGCAGCCACTCGATGTGTCCCTTTTGCGTCGATGTTTCTCCCTCTCTTTCTCTCCCTCCCACTCTATCTGAATAAAAAATGGAAAAGTGTCCTCGGGTGAGGATTAAAGAAAAAAAAAGGCCACCTGTTGTAGGTGTCTGCTGCCTCGCTGGGCCTGGCAACGTTCAGTTCGAGCTGAGCCGTCCCGGTTGGGAGGAAACAGCGTCCTGGGCGCAGGTGTTGGCGCACCCAACAAGGATGCTGCCTGCTCTGACGTTTCAGGCTCCAGGTGGTTTAGTGAGATACCTGTGGGCCGCCGAGAAAGGCGTTTTACCGAAAGCGACCGATTCTCAGACGGACACCACGAGGGAGAGGCCTTTTTCAGGTGACTGACTCCGAGGTGAGCGGTGAGCACCTCTTCCCACCCTGTCTGCTGGTAAAATGAGACCACCGGGTTGTATCAAATTCTCTTCTGACGTGAAGGTGACACCGACCCGCCGCTGCGCTGGTTCGATCTGGTGAGAGATCCAGCCTCAACCCTCCGATGTGGCATCACTTCTACTCATTAAAAAAAAAAAGTTCTTATTTTATTTTATTATTATTTTTTAATCCTCACCTGAGGACATTTTTCCATTTTTTGTTCATATAGAGTGGGAGGGAGAGAGGAGAGAGAGAGAGAGAGAGAGAGAAACATCGACATGAAAGGGACACATCAAGTGGCTGCCACCCGCACAACCCAACCAGGGCTGAGGACAAACTGCAACCGAGGTACATGCCCTTAGCGGGAACCGAACCTGGGTCTCTCTGGACCGCAGGCCGACGCTCTAACTGCTGAGCCAAACTGGCCAGGGCAATTTTATTTCATTTTATTTTATTTATTTTTTTATCCTCGCCCAAGGACATTTTTTGATATTTTGTTCAGATAGAGTGGGAGGGAGGGAGAGAGAGAAAAACATTGACGTGAAAGGGACACATCGAGTGGTCGCCACCCACACGACCCAACCAGGGCCAAGGAGAAACTGCAACCGAGGTACGTGCCCTCAGCGGGAACCGAACCCGGGTCTCTCCAGACCGCAGGCCGACGCTCCAACCGCTGAGCCAAACCGGCCAGGGCCAATTTTATTTTTTTAAGAGGAAGGTAGAGAAACATTGAAGTGAGAGAAACAGCAACCGACTGCCTTCTGCACGCCCCCTACTGGGGATTGAGCCCGAAACCCAGGCATGTGCCCTGTCTGGGAATTGAACAGGGCTCCTGGTGAATGGGATGATGCTCACTCCACTGAGCCACACCAGCCCGGCTCACTTCTACTCTTTGAGACGTGCTTGCATGTGAACACAAGACATCGGCTCAGTTGCCAGTAAAATGCTCCCCTGTCCTGGAGACGACAGGGATGAGCTGCTGGTAGGTCAGAGCGAGCGTCCTCGCCGGGATGGTTGGATTGGTTGGGATGGGCTGGCAGACACAGCCGTGTCTCCCATGTTCATGGTTTGACCCTTAATTTCTAATTTCAACACTCGAAACACGATTACGGGCTGACTGGCGAAGCCGGGACGAGAACTCTGGCTGCAGCAGGCTGGGTGGTTTTGTGTGGTGTTCACGTGCTCGGGGCTCAGCGTCTGCTACCTGCTCAAGCTCATTTGCAAGCCCAGAGCAAGGACTCGGGGCCCTGCGGGTGCCAGATGCCGAGTCCTGTCCGAGGTGGGACGAGGCTGCAGTCGCTGCTGCAGCTCCTGCTGCGCACAGGTGTCGTCTTCACGGCCTCTCGTGCCAGGTTTGGTTTTCACATTTCTGTGTTTTTTGTTTTTTTTAAATCCTCACCCAAGGACATTTTTGCATTTATCTTAGATAGAGTGGGAGGGAGAGAGAGAGGAAGAGAGAGAAACATCGGTGTGAGAGAGACACATCGAGTGGTTGCCACCCACCTGACCCCAACCGGGGCCGGGGCCAAACTGCAACTGAGGTACGTGCCCTTCATGGGAACCAAACCCAGGACTCTCTGGTCCGCGGGCCGACGCTCTAACCTAGTGGATCTCAACCTGTGGGTTGCGACCTCTTTTGGGGTCAAACGATCCTTTCACAGGGGTCGCCTAAGACCATCGGAAAACATATTTCCGATGGTGATCCATAACAGTAGCAAAATTAGTTATGAAGTAGCAACGAAAATAATTTTATGGTTGGGGGTCCCCACCACATGAGGAACTGTATTCAAGGTCCCCACCACATGAGGAACTGTATTCAAGGGTCGCGGCATCAGGAAGGTTGAGAACCGCTGCTCTGACCGCCGAGCCCAACCGGCCAGGGCCATTTCTGTGCTTTTGAGGGTGCTCTCTGCTGCTGAGCGTGGTGGCCTCCGAGTGCAGAGGTGAAGCACCGCCTCGCGTTCCCGCGAGCGAGCACGCGGTGCGTCAGGTCAGCTTTGCTCTGACACGCGGGCCAGTGCTGTTGGCTGTGGGTTCGACGCTGACAAATCCGCAGTTCATGCAGAACACTCTGGTTGATGGGTTGAAAAAATGTAACCAGAAACCTGCAGGAACCTGGCTGTGCGTCTCCGGGGTGCTGGCTCGGTCTCTGCAGGGTCGGTGATGTCTCCCGGGGTAATGCGGTGAATAACGAGATTCCAATCCCCCGGGACAGAACTGCATGGCCATGGTGGGGCAGAGCCAGGTGTGGGCCGGCTCGGAGGACTGCACCATCTACATCATCAGCATCCACAGCATGTCCTGCAACAAGCAGCTCGCCGACCACCGCGCCAGCGTCACGGGCTTGGTGGTGCCGGACGGGACGGACGCACCCAGGTGTGCTGGGCTGGTGGGGCGAGGGGAGCGAGTCTGGACGAGGTGTGAGGCGACGTCCTTGTCCGTCTCTGGTTTGGGGACAGTCACGTCTGCTGGGGGAACCCTCGGGCCTTTCCACGGCTCCCTCTGCTACCCTCCTTGTCCCCAAGTTTCAGAGCTGTCATCTGTCCTCAGCCAGGCCCAGCTCAGGTAGACGTAAGGTGCTGCCATCTGAAGGTGGGGCCACACACTGTATGGCTAGAGGCCACCTCCCCAAAGCTGCGGCCACCGAGGCCTGGGCTAATGCTGACCTGAGCTTGGGGAGGCAGCTCTCCAGCCCCTTGTGTAGGGTCACGTTTCAGCTTATGGTCCTGTTGCGGCTGGTTCTGCTTCGCAAACCTGCCTTGACTGCTAGGCCTGTTCTCCCGCAGGCGTGGGCGCCAGTCTATCCATGTGCCCTGCTTTTTGGTTACATTGTAACCAAGGCCTGTTCTCCCGCAGGCAGGCATGGGCGCCAGTCTATCCATGTGCCCTGCTTTTTGGTTACATTGTAACCAAGGCCTGTTCTCCCGCAGGCGCGTGCGCCAGTCTATCCATGTGCCCTGCTTTTTGGTTACATTGTAACCAAGGCCTGTTCTCCCGCAGGCGCGTGCGCCAGTCTATCCATGTGCCCTGCTTTCCCGGCCACTCTGATCTTTTCCGGGTTACAGTGCACACTGGTTTCCAGGGCCAAAATGAAATGTGTTTTGCCTCCAGCCAGGTGTATTCGTGCAGTGTGGACGGGACGGTCCTGGAGTGGAACGTGAGCACCCTGCAGGTGACCAGCAGGTTCCAGCTGCCGAGCGGGGGCCTCTCGTCCATCAGGATGCACGGCGGCTGCCTGTGGTGCTGTAAGCCCTCTGCTCCCTGTCACCGCTAGCACCAGCCCTTGCTCGGGGGGGAGGGGGTGCAGAACGCACACGAAGTCCTGACTGCGTCACGCATCTCCCACTTTTCCTTAAAGCCCGCTGTCTCTTGGAGCTCTGGCCCCCCGCTCTCTCTGCTCCCCTGGCTCCTTACTCCGCCCTGGGCGCATCTGCCCACAGCTAATGGGGCGCCTCCTCCCCTCTGCCCGCTCGTAGCGTGGACGCAGCCGCGTGCGTCCAGGAGTCAGCTCCTTTGGTGCGCTCCGTGACCCTGTCCCCGTGTCCTCCTGAACTTCGACGCTGGCTCGGTGGCTCCGGCGCCTGGGGGGAGGGGTGGGGGCACGTGAAATAGAAATGTACAGAAGGCCAGGTCCGCACACTTGCGCTGCCCAGTTCCCTGCTGCCCACGGGCCTGGTTTTGCTGACCTGTGCTCTTCTCGCCATGTCTCCCAAACCCACAGGAGTGAGTGCCGGGTGCCAGTGGGCTGCTCCGTGAAAAGGGGCTGCTGGTGCACGTGTCACCGTGAGGAGAGTGTGAAAGTGCCTTCTCTTGGCCGGGGCCGGCCCCCCCGCAGCAGGGAAGGTCGCAGATGCCGCTCTGGGCCAGTCTGGACGGCACGAGGCCCACGGTGGCTTCCTGGCTGTTCGATCCTGAGGCTTGGCCTTCGCTCTGCCCGCCCTCACCCCGGCTCTCCTCCTGCAGGTACAGGTGACAGCATCGTGGCAGTGAACAGCCGTCTCCCTCAGGAACTGAAGATCGGAGAGAACTTCAAGGAGAACACCTCCTTCGTGGCCTTCCAGCTCGTCCCGGAGGTACCCCGCAGCGTGGCTGTGCGCCCCCAGCCCCAGGCTGCCAGCTCCTGCATCTGATCTCTGTCTCAGCAGGAGCAGCTGTGGGCGGTGTGCTCGGGACTCCACAGCATTTACATCTGGGGCCTGGAGGACCTGGCCCAGCCCCTGGGGAGGATTCACCTGCCTGACTGCTGCCAGGTCAACTGCATGATCAGGGTGAAGAGGCAGGTGAGGCGGGGCCGCCTGCCCACACGGGACAGCAGGAGGGTCTGGATTGGGGAAGCCCTTCCCCATCTGGCGAGTCAAGCGCTCACTGCACAGGGACGAGGGCTCCTTCCGGCTGGGCTGTGTGCTGACGCCCGTCTCTCCGGCAGATCTGGGCGGGCGGCACGGGGCTGGCGCAGGGGAAGCCCCAAGGGAAGATCTACGTGATCGACGCCGAGAGGAGGACGGTGGAGAAGGAGCTGGTGGCCCACACGGATGCCGTGCAGTCCCTGTGCTCGGCGGAGGACAGATACGTGCTGAGCGGCTCTGGCAGACAGGAAGGGAAGATCGCCATCTGGAAGGTCGAGTGAGCCGGTCGGCGAGCTGAGCGCTGCGCTCCGGGAGCAGGCATGTGTGCCGTAGGCCCGCTCCCGGGCGCACGTCCAGGGAAGGCGGGTCCGGAGCCGGTCCGCTGGGTGTGTCCGCTACAGGTGCCTGTCTGGCCTGTCATGAGACCAACAACTGTGCACTTTCTCTCTTGGACTTTCCTGGTTAAATTGGACCACAGTGAGTCAGGTTGGGCGCTTCTCGGGCAGGCAGCTGGATCAGTTTTTTTGATCCTCACCTGAGGACATCTTTTGTTCAGATATAGTGGGAAGAGAAAGAGGGAGAGAGAGAGAAACATCGATGTGAAAGGGACACATTGAGTGGCTGCCACCCGCATGACCCAACCAGGGCCGGGGACAAACTGCAACCGAGGTACATGCCCTTAGCGGGAACCGAACCCGGGTCTCTCTGGGCCGCAGGCCGACGCTCTAACCGCTGAGCCAACCGGCCAGGGCAGCTGGATCAGTTTTGTGACCATCTCTGCCGAGAAGCTGCCCTGTGTGTTCTCCAGGAAGTTCGAGTCCACAAGCACAGCAGAGCCAGTCCCTCCTGGCCTGTGGACTGGACACCTGTCTGGTTTGGCCTTTCCTGTGCTTTTCATTCATTCACCACTGCTCACTGAGCGCCCGGCTTGCGGGAGCCCTGTGCCTTCCCCCGACCTCGTCTGCAGCCAAGCTTGTGAGCAGGCTCCTTCCAAGGAGCACGTTGTGCCTGCCCAGGGAGGGGACAGCACGGTGACAGGGCCGTATGGACGGGTCAGGGCAGCTAAGGCAAGCTCTGTGTGTCTTCTTCTTTAACTAATGCAGAAACCTAGACAGACTTTTTTCTACCAAAGATCACACAGAGTTCCCTCTCAAGCAGCCCGTAGAGTTGCCACGAGTCCTCACCACATACTAATGTACCTCCCACTGGCCTGTGTCATGTGCAGTGCGTGTGCGTATAGATGGTGCTTTATTATTTAACTAAAGGTGATCTCGTTAGCTATCAATGACTAAAAATATGCGAAAGAGACCTTTTGCACATTTCCCTGTGGTGCTGAGGTTCGGCTCCTTACAAGCCCGGCAGGGAGGCTCTGGCATGGTTGCTGGACATGGAGCGTTGCCTGCTGGCTCTGCCTGCAGGGCTGCGGGCCCACGGCTCTGGGTTTTGGGGTTCGGATGCTGTGCCAGCCCTTGCTCACCCTGAGAGCTCTCTGAGGTGTGTGCTGGGAACCTCTGCAGGGCCCCCAGCATGGATGCTCTGGCCAGGCCTCAGGCTTGGTCCATGGGACCCCAGCGTTTAGGAAGGTCCCAGTCACTGGCCGGCATTTTGAGGCACCCTAAGAAGTTCCCCGGAGTCTGCTGACAGAGTGTGTCCCCAACTCTTAGGACAGCTCGGCCAGCAGCAGAGGGTGGAAGGTCGAATTTGCTTTTGTAAACACATGATCAGTTCCAATAAAAGCCTGAGAAATAAACAGCTTAATCAATGCCAATCCACACGTAACCAGGTATTTTCAACTTGTCGATAATAAACTTTCGCTTACTGAACACGGGGCCCTCTCCTCTGCCCACACTCACTGGTGGCGGAGGTGCAGACAGCAGTGAGTGTCACAGGGCTGTTCTGGATTGGCTCCCAGTTCACCCTGAGCACCCAGCACGGGGTTTTAATGCAGACTTTCCATTTCCTTATTGGCCGATCATTGCATTTAAAACAGCTGATGCAGAAAGAGCAGACTTAGGAAGCGGTCATTTATAGGAAAGGGAAAACGGGGAGCCCTGGGGCGGAGGGGCCAGCGGGGGGGGGGGGGAGCCCTGGGGCGGAGGGGCCAGCGGGGGCGGGGGTGGGGGGAGGGAGCCCTGGGGCGGAGGGGCCAGCGGGGGGGGGGGGGAGCCCTGGGGCGGAGGGGCCCGCGGGGGAACCCAGGGGGCGGAGGGGCCGTGGGGGAGCCCGGGGGTGGAGGGGCCAGCGGGGGTGGGGGAGCCCTGGGGCAGAGGGGCCAGCGGGGGTGGGGGAGCCCGGGGGCGGAGGGGCCAGCGGGGGGGGGGGAGCCCTGGGGCGGAGGGGCCCGCGGGGGAACCCAGGGGGCGGAGGGGCTGTGGGGGAGCCCGGGGGCGAGGGGCCAGCGGGGGTGAGGGAGCCCTGGGGCGGAGGGGCCAGCGGGGGTGGGGGAGCCCGGGGGCGGAGGGGCCAGCGGGGGTGGGGGAGCCCTGGGGCAGAGGGGCCAGCGGGGGGGGGGGAGCCCTGGGGCGGAGGGGCCCGCGGGGGAACCCGGGGGGCGGAGGGGCCGTGGGGGAGTCCGGGGGCGGAGGGGCCGCGGGCACAGTGCTGTCAGCTCTGCATGTAAGTCACTAGGACCGTGTGGGGGACACCGTGCCTTCGGTGCTTCCCCCGCGCTTTGGATTTCCATGCTGAAGGAGCCACCTCAGGAAAGCCCCAAGGTGAGCCAGACTCCTCACACAAACAGGGATGCCTTCCCTGCCTCGGCCGGAACCTGAATCAAACTGGTACCAGAAAAGTGTGTCTTCAACTAGAAGCCAGCCTGCTCTAACATAATCAAAGTTTCCGCTGTGCTGCCGTGTTTCCGACGCCAGAGAAGCAAGCTCGCTCGGGGTGTGGTGCGACCACACCTGCCCCGTGACGGCTGCAGGCTGTGGAGACGGCACAGGGCAGTGTTTTCATGCTGTGCTCTCAGATGACAGCCTTGGAACTGGATGTCACTGTGACATCTGAGTGAAGAGAGTGTGACGTTGCTCCATCCTGGGAGGCCTCAGCAAGCTGAGGGTGGTTTCTCCACGTGGCTGGGAGGACACAGCTGGAAAGCCAGGCAGAGATGCCCCACAGTCTCTGCTGCCTGCAAATGTCTGCCTTTTTTATGGCAATGCCATGGGGTCCCCCTCGTCCCCCAGGGTGGGGTGAGGCAGAGGCTCCTGGACACTCGAGGGCTGGTCTCTCTTGAGCATGTGGCTGCCCCTCAGCCACAGTGCAGCCGTGAGCACGCACGGGACTCTGGGTCTCTGTGCCTTGGAACAGAGGTCCTGGGGCCCCGGTGCGGCAGGTGGCCTGCGCCTGACCCCGGCCTAGCTGGGACCTGGCCACGTGACCCGGCCCCTGTAAAATGCTGACGGCTCCTTCTTCCAGGGCTGGTTGGCAGACTTGTGCAAATCCTAAGAGCACATAAGAGCACGGCAGCTACTGTAGTGGGCTGAGCAGTGGCCTTCAGAGATGTCCACATCCTAGCCCTGAAACCTGGGACGTGACCTTCCTCGGAAAAGGGCCTTTGCAGGAAAAAAGTTCAAGATCTCACGACAAGATCACCCGGGGTTAGGAGGGACCCTAAACAGTGCCCTTGGTCGAGGAGACAGACGGCACTGGGGGAGCCCCGCTGCACGCGCGTCCCTCAGGCGTACCCGCAGCGGTCACCTGCGCATGTCCCTGGGAGTAAATTCACCGGAATGAAAAACAAGACCGTGATGGATCCTACAGCTGTTGGAAAAGATCCCAAGGAAATCTTTTTAATTTGATGCCAATAAATCTGACAACTTGGATGGAATGGAAAAATTATCTGGAAGACAGACAGCTACAGCTCATGGAAGGACAAACAGATGACCTGAACGGGCTCGTTCAGCCCATAGTCTAGAACCTTCACGTCAAGAAAACCTGAGGTGAGGAGCTCACGGGGCTTTTCGCAAAGGCAAGAGCGCGTGGCGCGAACGGTCCCTGCCTCCCTCTGGGGAGACGTTGCCTTGCTACGGAGCCAGACAGGGTATCACAAAGGAAAAACACCCAAGTCCAGTCCAGCGGCACGTAAGAAAGATACTGCCTCAGGGCCAAGTGCGCGTCGCCCCGGGATCAAGGCTGGCTTAACAGTCAAGACCACAGATGTGATTCGCCGTCTTCACAAGCGAGAACCCCCAGTCCATTCCGACGGGTCCTGAAGAGCATCCGACATAACTCAACACCCTCCATGGTGGCTGCTCCCAGCCAACGAGGACTCGAAAGAAGCGGCCTCAGCTGGCTCGGGCAGCACGGAACCCCCACGGCAAACATGACGAGGTCAGGAACGAGGCAGATGTCACTCTCACACCCTGGGACAAGACAGGTATCAGATAAAGGACTTGCACCCTTGGAAACTCAACAATAAGGAAAACAAACCAACTATAGAAAAGACAAACACTAGGTCAGACATTTCACTGAAGAATATACACAGGTGCCCTGGCCGGTTTGGCTCAGTGGATAGAGCGTCGGCCCATGGACCAGAGACTCCTGGGTTTGGTTCCCGCTAAGGGCACGTACCTGGGTTGCAGTTTGTCCCGACCCCGGTTGGGGTCGTGTGGGTGGCAACCAGTCGATGTATCTCTCTCACATCGATGTTTCTCCCCCCCTCCTCCTGCTCAATCTGAAGATAAATGCAAAAATGTCCTCGGGTGAGGATTGGAAAAAAAAAAAAGTATACTCAGGGGACAGACAAGTGAAGGTAAAGACGTGTCCCGTCTAAGGAAACCCACACGACCGCAATGGCCCCAGTCTGTACAGGCGCGGGCAGGGTGGGGAGACCTCAGACCCTCGTCCACTGCGGTGGGGATGCAAAGTGGTGCAGCCCCAGGGGAAAACAGCGGGGCGCTTCTGTCTCATTCACAGACACCATATGAGTCAGCAGGGAAGAGAAGTGGAAATACTCAGACTCCTGTATGCAAATGCTCACAGCAGTTCTGTCCACAGTGACCTGTCCCACAGGAACAGGGAACAAGCCGCTGTCCACCAGCTGCTGAGCGGGCAGAGTGCAGTCTCTTCCGCCGCTGGGCTACTACACCAGGAAGCGGAACCAGTGACACCTGCCAGAGTATGGGTAGACCCGAGCGGTTACGCTACAGCAGAGAACCGATCTCAAGCCTCCTGTGGGCTTCCCTTTATATGAAACTCAAGACAAAGCAAAGCCACAGTGACCCGAAGCCAGTCAGCACCTGCGACGAGGAAGAGGTGGGAGGAGGATGCGCCTACACAGGGCGAGGGGACCTTCTGGGTGGCCGCTTGCTGCCGGGGCGTGCGGGCAGTTCTCGCGCGGCCATCTGTGCCCGGGCTCGATGCAGGCTCCCTGGTGAGCAGCTGTGTCGTGGGTGCAGTGCTGGTCATGCACACACACATTTCCCAGAACTTCTACCTAAAACAAGCTCTACTGCATGTAAATTATATCTCAAAACGTTCCTATTTAAAGTAAAGAAGGAAACAGCCCAGCCGGTGCGGCTCTGTGGCTGAGCGTCGACCCTGCACCAGGAGGTTGCCAGTTCGATTCCCGGTCAGGACACATGCCCAGGTTGTGGGCCACC